AGAACTGCAGAGACCTGTTTGACCTGATCCTCACCTGCGAGGAGAGAGTGTACGACCAGGTGGTGGAAGGTGAGCCCCGGCCCCGTGCCTGCACGTGCCATTCGTCCCTCATCCTCCCCCTCTCCCTGGTCCCAGGGGCCCACAGCCGGCCGGGAGGGCCTGGCAAGGGGGCTTGGCCTGTCATGTTCAGGGCAGAGCCTGCTGAATGCTTCTCCCAGGACAGGGGAGGGGTGAGGTGGGGGCCTGGTGTTCCCTGGATCACAGCCATTTTGAGGAGGAGGTTTGGTGCTCGGCCAGGGCAGGTGACGTGCCATTTCTGTCCCCTTAGATCTGAATTCCCGGGAGCAGGAGACCTGCCAGCCAGTGCACGTGATCAACGTGGACATCCAGGACAACCACGAGGAGGCCACACTGGGGGCCTTCCTCATCTGCGAGCTGTGCCAGTGCGTGAGTGTCCGCCCCTGGCCTGCTCTGGCTGCGCCGGCACCTGGGGACGGGCGGCGGTGCTCAGGGTTCAGACCCAGGTCCTGCTCCTGAGGGTGCCCGTGGTGTGAGAGTCCGTAGCTGGCTCTGGGCAGTTCGCCTGTGTGTGAAGCTGACAGAAGGCAGTGGTTGTGACCTGCCGTGTGTCAAGGTGTCCAAGGGCCCCAGGGGCTCTACATCCCTTCACTGCCCTTCCGGGCGGCTGGCCCCTGTGGCCCTGGGCATCTCCCTTGGGAGGAAAGCCAGGGCTTGTGCAACCACCGCAGCTGTGCTCAGAGCAAAGTTTCTCTTACGTGTGACAAAAGCCCCGAGCATGGAGGAGCCCACAGCCCTGGCTCTGCCGTGGTCCCTGGGTTTCGGTGAGCTGGGGTGAGTGACAGAAACAGGAAGAAACACGGCTGGAGCATCGGCCTGCGCCCCAGGGGTCCCAGGTTTGATCCCCGGCTGCGGGAGGCGGCCCATCAGAATGTCTCTCACGTCAACGGTTCCTCTCTCTTTCTCTTGCCCCCTCCTCCCCTCCCTTCCACTGTATCTATAAATCATTGGAGCCAGGCTGACATGGCTCAGTGGATAGAGCTTCAGCCGGCGGACTGAAGGGTCCCAGGTTCCCAGGTTCGATTCCAGGCAAGGGCATGTGCTCAGGTTGCAGGCTTGATCCCCAATAGGGGGACATGCAGGAGGCAGCTGATCAATGGTTCTCTCTCATCATTGATGTATCTCCTCCCTTCCTCTATGAAATAAAATAAAAATATATATTTTTTAAAAAACACTAAAATCAATGGGAAAAACATCCTTGGGTTAGTATTTTTTTTAAAAAAGTTTAACCAAAAAGTCTAGAGATAGGTGGGCCCTGCTGGTTTGCTCTGAGGGACCCAGCACAGGTTCCATTCCCAGTGTGCCTCATGGTCCAGTGTGGCTGCTGAAGCTCCAGCAATTGTGCCCATGATCCGGCCGTCATGCAAGAGAAAAGGCTGCAGGGGGAAGACATGTCCCAGAGGTGACACGTGTGACGTGGGTCACCCTGGCTAAAGCTGAGTTATTGGGGTGGGGGGTGGCGCTCTTCAGAGGCCTTACTTTAGGCCAGGCCTGGGGCCAGCAATGGCCTTGGCTGCAGTCCAGCTGGCCGCCCGGGCTGACCCCTGGCAGCACCTACGCCTTTTAGGGCAGTGGTTGTCCACCGCGGCGCCTGGACGTGTTTGCACACTTGTGGTCTCACAACTGGGAGGGACATTGGTGGCAGCCAGTGGGGAGAGGCCACAGATGCTGCCACACACCCTGCACAGGACGGTGCGCCCCCTCACTCGGGGGAAAGGGACTGCCCTTCTGTGCCCGGTGTCCATTGAGTGAGGGTCTGTAGCTGCAATCCATGTGACTTCTTTTCCATTTTTTTAATATATTTTTTATTGATTTCAGAGAGGAAGGAAGAGGGAGAGAGAGAAACATCCATGATGAGAGAGACCAAGCCCCCAGCCCGGACATGTGCCCTGGCCAGGAATTGAACCCTGACCTCCTGGTTCATAGGTCGACGCTCAACCGCTGAGCCCCGCCGGCCGGGCTCCATGGACCATTGGACACACTGGAGAGCAGGCCCTGGTTTCAGAGCCCAGCCCCTTCCCTTTGCGCTCTCCCAGGGGAGGGCCTGGGGCCGCCCGGCATGAGGAGTGGGAAGCACGGTCAGCACCAGCAGCAGGGCTGCTGGGGCCTGGGACCCTCCCCCACACCCCCTCCTCCCGCTCAGACACCCCTCTGCCCGCAGATCCAGCACACGGAGGACATGGAGAACGAGATCGAGGAGCTGCTGCAGGAGTTCGAGGAGAAGAGCGGCCGCACCTTCCTGCACACCGTCTGCTTCTACTGAGCCGGCACCCGCCCCACGGCCTCCGCGCTGCCTGTTGTTAATACTTGTTCCTTCCCACCCGTCCTGACCCCAGGGCTGCTGCCCAAGATGGTCCCTGCGCTGTACATAGTTTGGCCCCACAGCTGTCAAGCTCGGTGTCCCGCTCTCGTTACTAGTGTGAAATTAAAGTGTTTCTTTAAACAAAGCAATGTCTGCCTGCCTTCCGTTCCTTCTCCGACCTGGCGGGACGGTCCGACACCTGGGAGAGAGCCTGCCGGCGTCCAGTGAGCAGCTGCCGACGCCTCTGCTTCGTCCCT